GTGCTGTGCACGCGTGCGCAGGCCCCTGCCAAATGCGTAAGAGACTCCTTCGCCGGATGCCCCTTCCCTCCTGAAGCCAGGAGAGAAGTTCTGGCTCCCAGCCCTGCTCTAACCACTAGACCCCACTGCTCTCCCAGAGCAGGGGAGAGAACCCAGGAGTCCTGGCTCCCAGTGCCCCCTGCTCTAACCCACCAGATCCCACTCCTCTCCCAGAGCAGGGGAGAGAACCCAGGAGTCTTGACTCCCAACCTGTCTCTCTCCTGGCAGGATGTGCCAAGGGTCCCGGCTGGCACCGTGGGGCCATCTCTGCCCTTGCCTGGTCTCCCGACGGGACGCTGGCGGTGTCAGGCGGGGAGTGTGGGGAGCTGATTGTGTGGGGGGAGGCCAAGGCCCTGGCCACGGTGCAGGTATGTTGAGGGGGGGCTGGAGAGATGGGGCTGCCCCCTGAGGCTGGGGGGTGCGGTGGGAGGCTGGGGAGGGGAGGGGAAGGGATGGGGGAAGGCAGATGGAGTGGGCGAGATGGGGGGCAGGAGGGAGGTTGTCAGGGCGGCTGGGGGAAGCGGGGGCCTCAGTCCAACCCCCACTCACTCCCCTCCTACACAGGCCAGCTCGCGCAGTGTCTGTGCTCTCGGCTTCGCCTCCTCCTGCAGCCTCCTGGTGGCGCCGGCGGCTGGGAGCATCTGGCTGTGGGGCCTGCATGGCGACCCCAATACCGGGGCCCTCAGGTGAGCTGGGCAGGGCAAGCTGGATGCCTGGGTCCCTTCCTGGCCCCATCGCTCCCTGGGGAGCGGGGGGTGGGGGAGGGCCATGCCCTACTGACCCGGGCCACCGAGGTCCCGTTTCCCGTACCAGTCTATGCAGCAGCTGGCCTGGGCCCCACACGGACCGCGTCTCTCTCTCTCTCTCTCTCTCTCAGCCTGGAGCGTGAGCGCCCCCTGGGGGAGGTGGCAGCTCCCGTTACCTGCATGGGGCCAGCCGGGGCCCCCGGCTCCCTGGTCCTGGGACTGGCGAACGGGGAGGTGCTGCTGTTCAGAGTCCACCAGACGGTGCTGAAGCCCCTCTGGTGAGTTGGGAGGTGGGGGGCGTGTGTGCGCCTGTGGCTCCTTCGGTGAGTGAGGGGTTCAGGGGGGTCCCTGCAGTTCCCTTGGTGAATGGGGGAGGTTGGGGGGCCCTGCAGCTCCTCTGGTGAATGAGGGATTGGGGGGGGGGTCAGCCCCCTACGTTCCTGGGTTTGACCCTCATCTCTGCCTCTGTAGCTTAGTCAGCCCGGACGCCTGGGTTCCAGACCCCCCTGAGTACCTGTTTGATGTGGCTGTGACCCCAGATGGGCGGCTTCTTCTGTGGAAGGGGGTGAAAGAACCCACCCTGTACGAACTGGTGAGTGACTGGGCAGAGAACCCGGGAATCTGGGCACCCAGCCCTGTACCCCCCTCCCCAATGCGCCAGGCCCCACTCCGTCCCAGAGCCGGCAGAGAACCCAGGTGTCCTGGTGCCCAGCCCAGCCCCGCCCCCCTCCCTCCCCCCAGCACACTAGGCCCCACAGCAGAGAACCCAGGAATCCGGGTGCCCAGTCCCCTTCCCGCCCCCGCGCACTAGGCCCCTCCCCTCCCCAGCCGGCAGAGAACCCTGGAATCCGGTTTCCCACACCAGTATTGTTTGCTCTGTAGAGGGTGGGGGAGTCGGAGGAACTGGAGAAATCCCGGGAGGCCAAGATCCGCCTCTGGGAGCGGGATGAGGACGCCGATTCCAGCTGGTTCAGCAGGGCCTGGCTCAGCCCCGGTGAGTCCTGGCACAGAGCTGCGGGTCGGGAGTGTGTGGGGGCAGGGCTAGCAGGGGCTTTGGGTTGGGCGTGAGGGGCAGTCGGGAGGTTCAGCTCTGTCCCTTCGCAGATTCATCCCTGCTCCTCGCCGGCTCTGACGGGATGCTCTGGACTCGGGCTCAGTGGAGCGAGGAGGAGGATGCAGCCGAGTCCTGGAGCAGCAAGAGGTGGCAGCAGCAGCGGGTGAGTACTCCCTGGCTGGGCCTGTCTCTGTTGGGGACCCTGTCCCGGCAGGGCCCATCCCTCCTTCCCTGCTGGCAGCAGCCCAGTCTGCTGCACTGGGTGGGGTGCGGATGTTTCCCTCCTTGTGTGTCATGGGCGTGGTCAGCAGGGTCCAGAGTTAACACCCAGTGCAACGAATGACAGTGAGTTATCCCTATCCTTGCGAGGGGCTTGGCCCCTGCTGAGCTCGGTGCGGGCTGGCTGCAGCCTCAGGTCAGCTTCCGGGGGGCGGAGGGTTCGTTCTCTTCCCTGGAAGCGGCGAGTCTGGGGTGAACCTTCAGGTCAGCCGATCCCGCAACCCCTTTGGGCTGAGGCAGGGGCCTCCTGTTCCTACATGTTAACCCCTTCACGGCCTGTGCCCCTCAGATCCACAGTTCCAAGGTCACTGCGCTGCACAGCTGCGGGGACGTGCTGGTGACGGCAGCGCTGGATGGAGACGTCAAGATCTGGAAGCACGCCACGGGGAGACTGGTGGGTGGCGTGAAACGATGCTCCTGACTCCACCCCACAGCCCCCTGCCAGCCCAGCCCTGGGCTCCCCCCCGAGCTCTGCTAGTGCCCCTCACTCCAACCCACAGCCCCCTGCCAGCCCAGCCCTGGGCTCCCCCCCCCCCCAGCTCTGCCAGTGCCCCTCACTCCCCACCCGTAGCCCCAGGCTCTCTGATCCCTGGTTCTCTCTCTGCAGCTGGGGCAGTTCCGTTGCGCTGCTCCTGTCTCCTGCCTGCAAGCCCGGCCTGGTCCAGCCTCCCAGCTGCTCTTGGCCGTGGGCGACATCCTGGGCAACGTCTATTTCCTGGAGTGGGCCTGTCTGCGGGGGGACGACGCTGAACCCTGACCCATGTGAGCGGAGATGACACAATAAAGCCGCCCGCTGAGCTGCAAAGAACAGGGCCTTTGTTCAACTGTCCCGGCCTGGCCCCTCCCCCAGAGCGAGGCGGGGCTAAGAGGCCAGAGACTCATCCCCCCTGCCCTGTCCCTTGGGAAACTTGGGATCTATCAGGCCCACACCCTTGTGTTACTGCTTCTGGCCTGTCCATGGGGCTGGATGAGGGCGAGAGGGTCGCAACATTGTATCTCAAGTCCCCATGCCCTAGGCATAGCCTAATTGGGGGGAAACACCCCCCTGCGGGGGGCAGCCAGGCTCCTGCCTCAGCAGCCCTGCCCCGCATTTCCAGCACGCTGCAGCCGGAAATGCAGCAGGGCGCAATCAGGGCTGGTACCAAATGTATTGCTGTAGAAAGCAGCCAGAGGGACATTTCCACAGGAATCCCGGAGGGGGAAAGGGGGTGTCTCCCGACCGGGTGGCCTGTCACCACAGCGGGGCGAAGCTGAAGCGCACTTGGAGCAGGTAGTGCATCCGCACCTGGCCTGGCTCGTAGATGACGAACTCGTTGTAGTTGAGGGTGTAGCCATGGGGGTTCGTCACGCCCGTCTCCACGGCTGGGCCCAGCAGCACTGGAGCCCCATTCCTAGGGGGAGACGAGGCGGAGGTCAGGGCGAGGGTAGCTCAACCCCCCAGATGCCTGGTTCTCTCTTTCTGGGGGGCAGTGCCAGGCACGCATGGCTCCTGGGCTGCACAGGTTTGCTGCTCTTTCCCTGGAGTTCCCCCCCCCCCCAGCCGGTTGGCACCCGAGCAGCAGCCCGCGACGG